CTCATGACCCACTGTTTCATTACATGACCCCCTTGAAGCCTAATGCGACAAGGGATGAAGTCCTTTCACTAATACTCTCTCCTACCACCACACCCACCTTCTTCCCAAATCACTGAACTCACAAAGCTTCACATCCTCTGGCTCTGCCATGGATCTCCCCAGCCACAAATACTTTAGAGCTTCTCCTCTGTTGTCATCTTCACCTGGGGTACATTTTTTTTGCTTCTATTCGTTTGTTCTGTGCATGAATGTGATTCTCTAATCATTACTCTCTCTTTTTATCCCCCTCTCTGGGGTCTTTGTTTTCAGGAATTGGAGGGCAAAATAGACTTGTTTGGGAGGAGTAAAGAAAACCCATTTCCAGACCCACTTTGCAAGCTCCATCTCAGAGAGACCTCTGAGTTTGTCAAGTCTTTTCCAATGTCGAATGCTGGAAGCACAGAAAGCAGAGGCTGCATTCTTCAGGGTTCTGCTCAGAGGAGAAGAGAAGAAGGGTCTAACTCTGTCACAGACAGGAGATTGGAGACTCCTTCGACCCCTGGTAGACCCGTTTTCTGCTTCACAAGCGTTGGAAATCTCTCCAGGAAGAACTTTCCTTCGAAATGGGATGATGCAGAGAAGTGGCTCGTAAGTAGCTCTGGCCATGAATCTCCTGCTCATTCTGTGAAGGTATCTCAAAATTCCAACATTAGCAGCCAATGTGATAACTTTAAGAAACAAATGGAGGATATCTCGGAGAAATCGAGGGTCACGGAAGAAAGGGTATCGAACGCTGTCCCAAGCTTTCAGGGGTCCGTGTCTTTGGACCACCATAACTCAGACATGGTTCTAAAAGGTTAGAGTATGATCGCACTCAGCACCATCTTAAGTTCAAAATCGTTCTGCCTTTTTCCCATCTTTTTCATTCCTTTTTCCTTTTCTAATTTGTCAGTATTCAGTTCTTTAAATTTTGCCTTTTTATAAAGGTTTTGATCTTTGTTTAGGTTATAGGCATGCAGCCCCAATACTTTGAGATAGTAGCCGGACCCAATTTTAGATTCGGTTGCTTATTCTTGGAAGAAAATTTGTGGTATTTATGGTTTTTTTTTTTTTTTAACCTTGGGACCAAAACTGTAGGGTAGGTTCAAGATTCTAGGTTTTGTAAACTCTCATTTGTGTTCCATAGCTGGATTATAGATTTATGCAAACACTTATCTTTCATAGAACACCCAAATTTTGTAGAATCGGAACAGAATCACAGCTCTTAAGTACTGGAATAATTCGAAATAACCTCAAAAGCTTTTAAACCGATAATGGCACAATCTTTTCAAGACCATTATAAGCTTTTTTTGTGTTCAAGAAGTTGAGAGAAGAGAACCTAACTGAATGGTGTAACTGAATTCAACCCTAACAATAGAACAAGCAACCCTTTGACAGATAGTGACTTGTAATGCAGACAAGTTCACAGACAATCCAGACCCTATTCTGCCTAAATCCAGACATTCAGAACCAACAAAAGAAGCGTTTCTTTTCAGAAACCCTGGTAGCGAGGCAATGAAAGATGCTTGCACAGAAATGGTTCATGAGGTTAAACACCGAGATGTTGGGACAGAGATGACTCCTCTTGGAAGTTCAACCACTTCAAGGTGCCACACACCCTTCAAGAGCTCATCCCCTGCTCGCCATAACACTCCAGCTAGTAGGTCAGGACCATTGGTTCTGGCAAACGAAAACGAAACTAGCTGTACTATTGATGTTATTCAGCTCGAGGAGTGCCATTTTGCTAAACTGCAATTAGGAACACAGTATGGTTCAGTCACATCAAATTGGAGCTCAAGGGAGGAGGAGGAGGAGGAGATATCAAAGAGCTTGAGGCATAGCACCAGCCAGAAAGCTGATGTGGACTGCAGAGCTGCTGCGTGGGAAGAGGAGGAAAAGACCAAGTGTTGCCTCAGGTAATTAATTGAACTTGTTCTTGCAGCACATTGTACTTCCAAATGCGTCAGATGGGCAAGTTAAGGATTCCCTACTTGTGATGCGTGACAGGTATCAGAGAGAAGAAGCGAAAATCCAAGCTTGGGTTAATCTCCAAAGTGCAAAAGCAGAAGCTCAATCAAGAAAGCTTGAGGTATTTGATCTTTATCATTTCCTTTTTACTTTTACTATGGTGAATATTGGTTAGTTTGCATTCCTTGCCTTATTTTTTGGAGTCCTTAGCTTTGAAAGTGAGACAATATGTAAGTCTGGTTGGCAAAGAAGGATTGCATAGGATGCCTTTATTAAATATTTTCTGTCTTTGCTGTTATCCGCTTAACCAGTAGGAACTTGCACTCTTGCAAACAGTTTGAACAGTGAAAGTCAAGATAAGTCCAGATTTCTGTGTCTTGTGCATGGATTGGCCTTGTACTGGACTCTTAGAAACCCAGTATCTAAGCGTGAATGCGAGTTTGATACCTGAGATGCTGATACGGATTGTCGATTAAAGTCTGAGTGCTTTGCCAGGCATGTTATTGGTTTCATCTCCTCGAGCCACCCGCAGCTCCTAACAGAACAAAAACCTTATCATTTTCTTTGACCAGTCTACCTGCTTTGAGAGTCTTTATCACCCCAATACGTTTCCCATATTCATCCCCTTCATAAATATTAAATAAAATACACTAGAGAGCCTGGAAGTCATAATGCTTCGATATTATATATAATGAGTGCATGTGATAGTTTCCTTTAGATATGGTCTCGGGAATAATGAGTCAGCTCTGCTCAGTCGTACTGGTCCTTTGTTTCTTCTTCCCGTTCAACTTTAATATAATAATGAGCATCATTATTTTAAGAGAGCTCAAATTGGGTTCATTAAGTTCTGAGAGTAGACTCTGGATAGTAGGTGGGGAATCAACACAGCAGTCAAGTGCATTTTACTATCCAACTCACTAATAATACAGACAAAACCTAAATTTGGACTCTGCGAAGCTGATTATTTCTATAATTCTTAGTTTCTTGTAATAAACTGTCTTAACTCGTGTTCGCTGTCCCATTGGAAATTTAAATGTGTTCAATGTAATGATTACAGGACAAGAATTCAATTAAATATTTTCTCTTTTCTTTTCCAGTCAAATCTTCAAACAGTTTAAGAGCATCTCATTGAAACTAAGGTAGAATGAATTAACGTTGTGTAGGTGAAAATACAGAAGATGAAATCAAACCTAGAGGAGAAGTTGATGAAGAGGATGGCCGCGGTTCACAGAAAAGCCGAGGAATGGAGAGAAGCGGCGAAACAGCAGCACCAGGAGCAGATCCAGAAGGCCACAGAAAATGCTCAGAAGATGATGAGCCGCCATAAACCATATTTTTCAAATCACCGTTCGTGCGGTTGCCTCCCCTGCAATAGTAACAGCCATCACTAACGAAACTTGTTAAATCAGAATACATAAAATATTGTCCTGCAGATTATGAATCTCTCAATGAAAATCCATATTGGTTTGTCTCCGCCTCGCCACTTGCATTCTCTAGAAAGAAAATTAACCGCCAAAAACCATAAGTAATTATGAACGTTATAGATCATTTATAAATCCGCTAAAGGTACTACTACTATAGGCACATCCTGAACGGAACAATGTTTTCTGGAACAGGAAAGCGATGAGCTTGTAACATTTTGGAAGAGCGGATGATTTAGCTAAGAATTTAGATCTCTCCACATTCTCTCTTTATACTGCGTAAAGTTTATAACTTAAAATTCAAATCATCAGTATTTGCATAAAATTGATATAGCAAGCAGATTCCCCATAAAATTCAACGCAAATATGAATACTGTATTTGCTTTCTTAGGGAGCTACTTGAAATCGTATCTTTTTGAACATTTCTTCAGGCAGGGCAAATGAGTAGAGTAATTTGCTGACAATTTCTTCGTATTAAGCTGATGTATATTTGGATTTACGTCATTCCATCGTGTGAAAAGCAAGGTTATTTATTGGATATTTCCTTGTACGTAAGTTGTGTTCAAACAACACAAGGATTTTGGGTGACATTTACGTAAGTTCTTCTATGCATTCGACCATTCAGGCTGCCTTTGTCACACAAGTACTATCAGTGATTATAATATTTTTACATTATAGAATAAATAATAATAAAATATTTCTTAAAGAATCAATTTCTATTCTGCTTGCACTTCTTTTACTTGAGAAGTTTTGTCAGCAATCTATAGGGACTGTTAAATTGAAAATAAACTATTTTTTCTACCGCTAATAAAAACAGACACTATATCAGCAATTCTAATCATTCAATGGACGGTGATTCCTTTGTTGAAAACACCACTACCTTTAATTTCAGTCTCATGTTCTTCGTCTTCTTGGGGATATGGTGCTCCTAACATGTTACGTCCCAAGAAAAGCCCTGCAAAATGGGGGCATTTTTTGGCCATGTGGGTGCAACCTACTCGCCAATTAGCATTTGCCTAACCTGATTCAAGGGGTTATTTTGTTATGTTCAAGTCATCAATTTCTGAAGGTGATCTCATAAATAAATTGCATATATAAAATATCAGATCTGCACAAATTAAGTTTCTTTGGAAAATCAACATTTTCTTGAGAGTCATTTCTCCAATTTCATATAATTAAGGAGAAACATGGAGCAGTCTGAGAAGTGAGAATAGAATATGATTTTCAGGTGAGATGAAAATGAGGACATTAAGCAATGTTTGGACGAAGGAAAAAGAGAGGAAAATGAGAATGAGGGAATAATAAAAAGAAAAACTTTTAAAAATAGTAAATAAAATTTTATTTTTAGAATTTTTCTTCCTAGTATTCTTTCCTTGTACAAACATGCGGTATGGGTTTTAGAATTTAAACCAAGAATGATTTTATTTGTTTGAATAAATGAATAATACTCTCAATTTCATGAATCAGCGTGGCTAGCTAGCACTAATATTGTGTGCTTGAATTGTTCTTTAGAGAAATTTTCTTTTTTATCCACCCATCTAAATCTAAAATAATATATAGAAATAAATAAATAAACCTCAAAATTTATAAGAACTCATATTGTATTATGTGGAAATCCCGCGGGATCATAATATACAGAGCCGGATATGCGTTGAAACTATGCGTATGCATTCCAAACTGTAGCATCAACAAGTGTGATAAACATTACGTGTAATACTTTGATGAACCAAATATAAGTTAGAAAAAGTGTTTAAACAAATTAAAAGACCACTTACTTCCTCCTAGAACTCCCATTATTTTTATAACGTGGATTCGAACTCCACAGCAGTATTTGGTAACCAGTCACTTCCCTGGATAAATGACTGAACTGTGAACTTCGCTGCCTCATCATCCGATAGACTCGACTTATAACCCGCCCATTTCACCCTCTTGTCCACGCTCGACCCGTCTCCCGTATTCTTATACTCCGCGTAGAATATGGTGCTTGCGGGCTCCACGCCCGATACCCATTCTTTCCAGCCCACTGGATGCAAGAATGACCCTATATCTGACTGCATGATCACCGTGGTGGAGTACTCCTTCCATGGCCGGCCAAGGTATGTCAGAGCGGTGAGATTGGGGGCCGCAGAGATCGAGGATTTCTGGATGACGATTCCAGTGTTCTGGTTAGGATCCTTTTTGCCCTGGGCTGTGATGGTGTTGAATTGATTTGGCAAGGGTTGTCTCGGCTTGATCTTGCAGTTCTGGAAGACGACGGCGGAGTTACCGAAGATAAAGTCGATTGTGCCGGTGATGTCGCATTCTCTGTAGAACTGACGGTTGGAGTGGGCGTAGAGAGTGTCTTGGAAGCCGTCAAAAGAGCACCTGAAGAACACGGATTGGTCAGAGCCTGATCGAAATGCCACCGCCTGGTGCTTCGCAGCTCCGGCAGTGTTGATGAATCCTATGTCTTTGGCGATGAATCCCTTCCCCTTGACGGCTGTTTATAACAATGTGAGTTTAGTAAAAGGAATAACTGAATAAGTGCACTCATAGCAATCGTTTTCAAGTGAGCTTCAAAGCAATACAAATATAACTGTAACATACAAACTTTACTCATACATCAAATCAAACCAAACTGAATAATAATAATACTATTCTCATCCCTAATTAAGATAAAAGCTAGTTTGAGTTTTAATTTGGTTATAAACATAATATCCCAATCTATTTTATCTCTCATATTTATCTATTTTTTTTAAAGTAATCCTTGTAATATCAGTAGATGCATATATTAAATACTCCATCAAATGATAGTTCTAGGCAATACATATGATTAGTAAGATTATTCTAAGAAAAACAACACATATTTGTTGCAAATAACTAATTTAACAAACTTCCTTAATTTACTCAAATTAGTTAACTAACTTTTATATTAAGGACTAGAGGTAATAACAATTATAACTATACCATTAGTCTTACAGGCATGTGAACATTACATTACAGTTTTTTTTCTTTCATAAAAAAGAACATTACACTACACTTAATATAACAGATAGAAGGCACCAAAGTGACATGCGAGCCATGAGCAGTAAAACCTATTGCATAATAACCTTTCCTCCCTTTCTGATAGACAGTTAAACTCGCACAAGTTTTCTTTCACATTTGTTGTGAAATTCTATAGTGAGAACAGGATAAGGAAATATTTTTCACAAGTTAATATTGGTAATGCTGAGTTAATTTTTGTATGAGCGGAATAATGCCAAAAGTTACCCGCCAAATCAGACTTGTCTTACTGGGATGAAGGTTGTCCACTAGCCAATCAATAAAGGGAAGGTTTTATAGAGGTAGGCAATAATAAAAGTGTACAGTTTTTCTTAAAAAAGAAAAGCCAAATAACTTGCCATACAATAATCACATATAAAAGTGCTCAAACTTCACATAAAATTTTAGGAGCTTATAATTAATTTTTTTACATCAAAATTTACAAGAAACATTATTTTTGAAAGGAAAAAAAAAAGGTACGGCCCGGTTTGTCCCCAGAACAGGCCTACCACTTGCACACTTCTAATTTTTTGGGCCTGAGATTTATGACCCCCCAAGGGTCCAGTGGGGCCACCACAAACAAGAATATAATGAGCATATCATCTGAAAGCGGACAAACACATGGCAGGACATGAGCCCACGAGGCAACAAACATATTCCATCGGACATTATTTTTCATTTAAATAATCATCATCTGAGATTAGGTCCACTGTACAGGGAGGAAAAAAATTTTCTATACATAGGTATCTTTCTATCCAAGATAATTCCATTTGAGATGCTATCCGAGATAATTCTATTTGAGATGCTACGGGATATGAGCACATTTTTCAAACTAAATGTGAGCACCCAATACGATTCATACCAAAAGAAGTTCTAAAAGGCGATTTGGCATTGCCAGATCACGTTCACATAATGATCCATCATTTTATCTTTATTTCTTTCCTTTTCTTTTCTTTTTTTTTTTTAACCAGCGATCCATCATTTTATCTAACAGCAAGTGCATTGGCCCAACGCATGATATATCACCGCTTGCTTGTAACATCATCCCACTGATGATGCCGCTGTTTCTGTTTCACATGTCACGCTCTTTCTATCAAACTTGTTTTCTTGAATACATTTTTCATATATTTATTATCAAATTTTTTTAGAGATTAAAAGGACTTAATAAAAAATATTTAAAAATATCTGATAGGGGGGGAAAAAAAAGAATAATACTGGATTTTAATCAAAATTATGAAACATCGATGTGCAGGAATGAATAATTATTTTTGTCAAGCGTCAAGCATGGAAGATGGAACGAGTAAATGGAAATTAAAAATAAAGGAAAAAGGGGGAAATATATACTGCTTACCGAAAGTTGCAGTCGCAAATGTAGGCGTGCCGTCAATGAAGTTCAGGTTACCGGAGACGATGGTCTTGGTCTTGCCATCACCGAATATCATCACATTCCAAACGTTCTTATCCAAATCGATATTTTCTTCGTAAACCCCTTCCTTCACATGAATCACAAACCTGGTCAGGCTCTTCTTCTTCACGCTCGCCAACGCCGCCTTTATTGTCGTAAACTGCCCGCTGTTATCCTTTGCCACCACTGCATGCGGCGCTGTTGTGTTCGTATCCTCCAACAACCTCCTCTCCGCCGGACCAACCCAATCCGGAAAACCGGAATCCAATCCCCCGAATCCGAGCAGCCTCCGATGGATCGGGATTTTCAAATTCGAGAGAAGGCCTAGAATCTTCGTCACAATGGCCAAACTATTACTCGCGAACTCGGTTGAATTCTTCGTCGCGGTTTTCAGATCCCCGAGAATCTCGCTTGCGGCGGTGGAATTCAACTCCTCAAGAGCGTCCAGACAAGTCTCCTGGTAAGTAATCGCAGAGCTCAGCCACGTCTCAACGTCGCCGATCTTCGACCGCGAAAAGATCTTCCCGCCATTGCCGCCGGCCGCCAGCGAAGAGATCGACTCGTTCAGTCGATCCACCGCGTCGTCGAACACGATTCCGCACACATCGATCGCCTTCTGAAGCCGCGGATCCTTCACATTGGATTTGAGCTTGGAGGGAAGCTTCGAGAGATTGGAGAGCTCATCAAGGGCAACTCGGAGAGAGAGCTTGAAGAGAAGCTCCGGATCGGTGGTATTAGAATTAGGGAGGGACGAGATGCTGGACAAGCAGGAGCTTGGATACTGAGTGACAGCGCAGACGGCTTTGAGGGAGGAAGCCGGAGTCAGCTCAGTGGGAGGGAGGGAGTCGGAGGAAGAGGAGGAGTGGCTGCGCTTGTGAATGACGAAGGCGGCGACGGCGGCGACGACAATGGCGACGAGGACAATGCAGGAGACGCCGAGGATAATGAGGCGGCGGCGTGTCTTCTTCTGGAAAACTCTCTGCTCGACCTCATCCACCTTGCCGTAGCCCTTGAAGGACTTGATAGAATCCATAAAATTAAACTGTGCAGTTTTGTTTTACTCTGTTTTCGGAGTTTCTTCTGTGAGTAGAATTGAAGTGAAGAACTTCTGTGTCTCAATTCTCAAACGAGAGAGAGAGCGCGGCGTGATATGAAATGAAGGTGGCGATTGCCTGATGGGCCTGTGCTTGTCCTTTTTATAAGGGTGGGAATGGGATGAAATGGAATTAGGATCTCATTTATTTATTCTCTCCGCGTTTTTTAATATAGATATTTAATAAAATATCTCGTAAAAGAATTTTACTACTACCTCCGATTTTTAATATAAGATCCTATTTAATTTTTATTTTGATCATAAATATAAGACCTCAATCCATTTTGTCTCTCATATTTATATATTTTTTCAAAATAATCCTTCTGACAATGATAATTCTAGTCAATACACCTAATTAGCAAAGATATTTTAGGAAAAACAACACCTATTTAAGACAAATAACTAACTCAACTTACTTCCTTAATCTCTTTAAATTAGTCAACTCATTATTATAATTACGACCGAAGGTAGTACATCACAAAATAATGTACTGAAGAAAAGGACTGGCTTCACCGCGGAGCACTTGGATTGACTGGCTAAGGGTGACTTGGGATCACCTGAGGTCAAGATTTTGTATATACAAAGTAAACAAGAGTGATGTAAAATTATTTATATAAAATGAAATAATTTTTTTTTGGAAAGAAAGACATATTTTTAAAGGAGAGTAATACTACGTAGTAAAATTTATGTATGGCATTTTTATTAGATCAATTATTTTTTGAAAAAAATATCGGTATAAAATTGTAAAAAAAAAAAAATACCGTGGTTTTGCTTTGGTTGGTTGAAATGAGCTCAATATGCAAGAGAGAATAAACAATGGATTGCGCGTATCATAGAGTGCAAAAACCACCATACGCGAAGCAGACGAAGCCCAAATCAGCACAAATCAAAGCAAAACATACCCAGCCTGCAACCAACCATCTATCTGTGGGTTATGCCAATCGGATTGGTATAGCAAAAAAGTTAATCTCACAACGTCCTGATCAAGATTTTAAATTTTTGTTAGATAAGATATTCATATTTAATAACCAGTAGTATTTTAAACAGAACTACTACATCCTGATCTTAATATAATACTTCATTTAATTTTTATTTTGATCCCAAATATAAAACCACAATCCACTTTTTCTCTTATATTTATTCATTTTTTTTCAAAATAGTCCTTCTAATAATAGAATGATTGGTGAGGATATTTTAAGAAATACAACACCTATTTATAACAAATACTCCTCCGGTCCTTAATATATGACACAATTGTTGAGTTGGTTTTGATCCTAAATATAAGACTTATTTCTCATGTTTATTAATTTTCTCTAAATTACCCTTATAGATACTTTCTCAACCATAATTAAATAGAAGAGGGAGAGGGGGTATTAAGAAAAATGCTTATGATATTTTAGGAAAAACGTGTCACATTTCTTATAATTAACTAACTTACCTAACTTTTTTAATCTAATCAAATTAGTTAAATAGGTCTTATATTAAGGATCGGAGGGGTAACAAACTTAACTTATATTTTTAATCTACTCAAATTAGTCAAATAGCTCTAATATTTAAAACCAAAGGTACTATTTCTAATAAAGAATGCCTACACATAAAGGGGGGGAAAACACAATATGTGGGCTGGGCGATCCCATTCTCTCTTGTTAAGATCTTTAGAACTATTGGAACACTTAATTTTTTTTTTTTTAAAAAAAAGAATGTTCGTTAGCCATATAGCACTGAGTCGTAAAATTATTTTAGAATGTGTCAATATATATAATACTGAATACTTTATGGATACTTGCTGCCGGCGGTTGAAAAGGGTGCTGCTCAATAAATTAAGACGGATGCTACACATAATGGTGTTGAATTAAAATTGAATTTATGTGCATCATTCGAATTTTACATCACAAATTAATTCTCACCCCCCACAATTAACTTGTTTTTATTTTGTTGGGTCAACTCCCCAAATTAATTTGTGTAAACATTATTTAGATGACAGTCCGGAAATATGATATATGATGTAATGATCCCTTTGGCATTTAAAGAGTGGCCGGTAATCGCGGCAACACACATGCCTTTTCAGCAATCAATTTATGAATCATGAAAATCAAATTAAATTGAGGTTTCTTTTTTTTAACAAAAAAGAAAAAAAGATGATCTGGATCAATCTCAAAACCAGACATTAGTAATAATATTACACGGATTCACAACTGGACAAATGGCGACATCTTTGATTTTTATATATAAGGATATATTTAAAAGAAATTGCATTTATTATATATTAATTGCTTTTAACTGATTTTAACTGTTTTCTTAAACCTTGCAATTTAATTGACAAAATCTTATAATAGGAGATGGAGGGAGTAAGAAATAACCAAATTGTATGGTTTTGAAAAATTCATTAACATTATCTAAATATAATAAATATATAAGAAATAATCGAATTGTATGATTTAAAAAATTTATTAACATTGTCTAAAAATAATAAATATATAAGAAATATATTTTTTAAAATATGCCCCTATTTATAAAAGAGTAAATGAGAGAGAAATATTTCAAAAAAAAAAACGATGAAAAATGCATAGAAAAAGGACAATGCAATTTATGGATAGTTAAATTGATAAAAAAAAATATTAAATGTTTAGATAGTTCCAAACTTATAAAAAGAGCATGATGAATTAAAAAAATGGATCTTAAAAATTTATTCTTCTATCATATCTCTAACTTTCTGTTGCTGAATCTATAAGGTGCCTCCAAAATTTATTTTAAAATAATCAACAGATTTTATTTAAATACTTCATTTTCTTCCAAGATCATATATTTATGTTCTTTTTTTTTTAATATATTAAATTTGCGGAGTTTTGTGCATTGATATCCAATTAATCGGCTAACCCAACTCCATCGGCCCAACGCAGGGATCCATAAGATCGAATACATAATAAGATAATGCTGTGACTTGTGAGGAGCAGATCCTCCTGTTACCCCAAAAAAAGAAAACTCATTAATTTAATTATTTAAAAATTGAAACTTTAATGACTGGGTTCAAATCATCACAGAGGACGTGAGATGGAAGTAGACGGATGAGCTTAAAAGGAGTTAGGATACAATTAATTCGTCCAAATTTGGTGCCTAATTGATTCTTCTCTCTCACTCTCATAATCTGCCAGACAGTCCACGAGATCCCCATATAAAACTTCAAAATTATGGCAAGTTTTGATAGCAACAACGTCATTGCGATCTTCTCATTGTTTTCTTCAAAAATAAAAGTCAACGTGAATGAGTTGACTTCAAGTTCTCTCAATATTGACGTGCCCAGGAGTAGAGAGAATAAAGAAAAGAATACTGCTCTAGGATCATCCTAAATAAAGACTTCAGTTTAAAAATCATGATTTTTAAATTTCAAACTTTTTGGAATAAATAAACGAGGCATTCTGACTATAAATGTTGTTAACAGCTAATGAAATGTAGTTAATTCCTAAATAAAAATTGAAGAGTGGCACTGTTAATTGTTGTTGAATCAAAGATATTAATAGGTCATGGTATATATATATATCCAATACTTATATAAAAATTATAAATGACCTAAAAGGATAACATTGTCTCAATTCTTAAACTTGAAAAGCCAATAACAAAATTTGAATCCATTTTATCAATTTTGGAATAGAAATTAAGAAGTTGCGATTTCAACTTAAAGCACTTGGAAAAATGGGAAGAAGTCATCTCTTGAGAAAATGTTCAATTTCTAAACTTTATACGGTAATAACACATTTTTAATCCATTTCACTAGAAATTATAACTGGGATATCTGTGTCTTTTTCTTGCTTCAATTTCAAAATCACATTTTGATATTTGCTCCTTTATAAGAATTGGCAATATTCAGATACTCATTCGAAGTTTTTGCAAATTTAAGATTCTTTAGGAGTCATTTTTCCTTTATAAAATTCAGATGATATTGACTCGCTATTATACTTCTTGACTTAATTTCTTTTAAAAATATGCCGTCTCCCTCAACTTTGTTACGAAATACTCCTCCGGTCCTAATTATAAGACCCAATTGACTTATTTGAGGAGATTGAAAAAGTAAGTTAAGTTGGTTATTTATAATAAATAAGTGTTGTCATTCCTAAAATATCCTTGCTAATTAAGTATATTGGTTAAAACTATCATTATTAAAAGGATTATCTTGGAAAAAAATGCATAAATATAAGAGACAAAATGGATTGGGGTCTTATAATTAGAACCAAATAAAAAGTCAAATGGGGTCTTATAATAAAGACCGGAGGAGTAGTTAGTTTACGTAAGTGCAAGGTATTTGGCTTCCTTGTATGCACATCGCCTCAACCAATTCCCTCCCAACTTCTCGTCTCTCTCCTACACACACAGAGTCCGTATGAAACAGCTTATAAGTAGTTTATAAGTAGTTTTTTAATAATAATTTACAGAATACGAGGCAAGTATATGAGAAGAGTTTTATCTCGACTTATGTGAAACGTACTTGTAGGAAATTTTCACCATAATCCCAAACAGACACACAAACCACCTCCTTCCGTCCTTAATAGAAGAATTTTTTTTAACTGATTTGAATGTGGTTTAATACGACACATGTAATATGATCTCCCAAAACAACTCTACAAAATCCTAGATCATATATCAATTTACAACGTAGGTAAATTAAACCGAGGGAAAAAGTGATTGTTTTTTTTGCCAACGAAGATAATAAACATGATATGTAAATTGGATTTATGTTTTATACCCCCCAACCAAATCACATATTAGGAACCTAAGGGAGCAATTTTTATTTTTGAGTAAATTTTGATTGAGGAAATATTTAGTTATGGAAAAAATATTACTTATATTAATATAAAAATTAAAACAAGTCAAAATGATTAAACCCTCAACGTTCAATCAAAATCACTCATATTTTCATTCATTAATCATGCCAAATAAGAAGGTCACCTTATTATTTTTTTTTTTCAACTTCTTATTTTCTTAAGCACCCTCTGCTTCTTCACATGTGCTAGGAGCACACGATTTTGTTTCCTCACACACTCACACCTCCTCTTCCGCACAAATCCAATTCCTTTTCGCCTACATAAAAGGACAATTTTTTCCTAACATGCATAACAAATATTGCAATAATAAAATAATTATAATAATTAATGATGTAAGCCCTAGAGACCAAGAGAGAAAGGAAAGCCAGTGGACGCCAACCAGTTAGAGCCACCGACAAAGTTGGCGGCAGTAAACTGTTGAGCCTCCGAAGCACTTGTTATAACCTTGTACCCCTTCCACTTCACTCTATTCGCCGTTCCCGCACCGGCGCCAGTATTCTGATACTCGGCGTAGAACAGAGTGTCCAAAGCAAAATCACCATTCCACTCGTGCCATCCTACCGGATCGATCACGTCAGTTATGCTCGTCTGCATTATCACCGTCCTCGAATACTGCTTCCATGGCCGCCCCAGGAAGGTCTTGAAGTCCTTCTTCTTTGGTTCCAGGTCCTTCGTTGCTCCGATACGGCACTTCTGGATCACAATGCCGGTGTTCTGGTTCGGATCAACCCGTCCCTGTGCGGTGACCATGTTCTTCTGGCCAGAGCCAGGGAGTCGGGCGTGGATGTCGCAGTCTTGGAACACGGCGGCGGAGTTGCCGAAGATAAAGTCGACGGTGCCGGCAATGAGGCAGTTGATGAAGAACTGGCGGTTATTGTGGACGTAAAGGGTGTCCTGGAAGGCGAGGAAGTCACACTGGTAGAAGGCAGCGAAGTCGGAACCCACCCGGAGGGCGACGGCCTGGTGCTTGGCATGGCCGGCCGTGTTTTCAAAGGTTATGTCGCGAGCTAGGAATCTTTCTCCCACTGCGGCTGCAAAATGCATCAATAGCTTATCCATTAAAATTTAAAACTATAAATTAATAAAAATATATATAAAAACAAAAAACGGATAGAATTTTCAATTAAAAATTTAAAAATTAATAAAAGGTAAACCATTCGAGAGGATCGTTCGTGAGTGAATGTGAGCTGGCTTAAAGATTTCTTGTCCTGAATACTGACCTCTAGAAGGTAACACGCGCTGCCAACTCATTATAAATTTTTTTTGGCTGGTAGGGAATAAACCATAAAGTCTCCCTAATATGATTGCCATCTTAAATAATAATATTCTTTTTTGTTTTTGCCATCCTTAAATAATAATATTTCATGCGTGTTATGTTACCTCTCCTCAAAGTTGTAATGATAATAACATTTTGAATAGTTTTATTTCTTAGGGTCCACTTAAATTTTCTCTTTTTGAGTTTTTCATCACTGTATCAGAAATTGTTGCACAGTGGTGATGTTCACACTGGGAGGGGCCTGCATGTAAGCTTGTCACACTATACTTGAACATAATAAGTCAAGAAAACAATTTATATGATATTTATTTACAATATCCAAATTTTTAGCCCGTTAAATTTTTTAAGAATCCTTGACAAACTTATGCAAAAATAAGTTTTAGACAAAAGAGAAAAATATTGCAAGGTCCCAAAAAAATATGATTAGTTAATTATTAAAAAATTTAAATAACAAATAATAAGTAAAATTTGTTATTATAAACTGTTTCGTTATAAAAAATTTTGGTGAACACATCTTTTTCTTAAAATTTTATAATAATTCTTTAAAAATTTCAGAAAAATCTATTCACAATTAAATTCCTAAAAAAAGAGCAAAAAGAGGTCAGTGTCAATGAAGTGACAACGGCATGTTTTGTTTAGTGGTGGGGTGGCGTACGGGTGGACAGCCCACTGCTCAGCCTGCAGAAGAGAAGCGGGAACAAGTTGACAAAATTTCAGCTGAGTACATTTCCCAGTGGACCCACCACGTTTAGGCCCCGAAAAGAAGTTAGAATTTTGAGTTAGGAAGAAAAATTTGCCTCGGATTTTGGCACGAGGTTCGCATATTACAGCGACGCAAACATTCCTAGCGTCAAGACTAAAGAATCAAGGGCTAACAACCTCAGGTTAAAAAAAAAAAAAAGGGCTAACAACCAACAGATAATGGAGTATCATATGAAAATGACATTAATATGGCCAGCAAGCAAAAGATAAGGTGTTACGTACAGAAAAAGAAAGACAAAAAAAATAGTTGTGAAAGTGGAAGGCTTTTTTGTCTGTGGTGTGTGTTGTGGTTTCTTTTCTATGGCTAGATTTTCCCACGAAGGCCACAGAACCAACGCATGATTGTAGGGGAATAACAATAATAGGGACTACCATGACAAGGAAGCTTCCCGGAAACCTCTACTTTAAAAAAAAAAAAATCAAAAAGGCATGGGAAAAAATCAGAAGTATTGGGTTCGATTCTTAGATTTTTTTTTTTAGGGGATCCCTCCGAGACTCCTACTCCCTTCAAGGAACCTCAGTGAAGACAAGTTAAGTTTCAAGGTGTTTGGATGGAATCAAAATTATAATTTTAAAAATACTTTTACGGTATACGAAGTAAATATATAGAGGAATTTATCTTGATTTACAAAAAAAATACTTTTTAAAGGTATTTTTCAAGCAAGCCAAACACCCCTAATCAAGTTCCTGAAAATAGAATTCTTATATCGATGGTTGCATTGTAACAAATAAAAAAAAAAAAGGAAGGACCATAGATGGGAAGAAACCGGGAGAATGGAAATCTGAAATTACAAAAATATGTAAAATTAATTATGAAATTTCCAGTTCCAAGGAAGAAGGCAACCAACATGTTGATGTATGCAGCCCCAAATTTGTATCCTTTTGAAAGAATGAGATTACAGAACAGAACAGCTTGGTGTAATGGGAGTGCGCGGTTGAAAATCAATTAGGAAAATAATTTATGCAGTACTTTTTGGGATTATATGTGATAACATTAAGCGTTCAAAAGTTATTACCACTAAGAAAACAGCAGGCAGACAAAATATTTGACTTAAACTCAGTAATACTGATAAACGTCTACGATTAAGACCCATGTGCACATGCTGCCACATGACAAGAAGAAACGACCCGAAAAAAATAAAACCTTGTACAGCATGATTTGGTCCCCTAGCTGGGAGGGTCTCTTTGCCGAAATTATAGGAATTAGCCTTTGTTTCAAAACATCATGTGCGGGTTTTAAAAAAGCTAAGTACTGATCATATACCGACGGCAAAAACATGCTAATCAATCATCATTCGCTAATCATTGTAATACAAAACACAATATTCTTAATTAGCTGTTCAACCCTCGGTAAAAAAAATTAATCTAATTCAAAATATCAAGACACACGAACATTAATTTAATACGTGTAGGATTAACATTAATTATTTTGGACTTTGGTCAAAACACGCCAACATCTGTGACCACATAATGTTAGTTGTTAAGTAGTGTAAATTGTCTTATTATATTAATACCTACTAAATTTAGTACGTGTAATTAATGTGTCTTCGTAGACGTGTATGGATGGATCATTTTGAGCTTTCGGTGCTTTCTTTGGCCCCTTTGATTTTGAATTTACAAGGCAAAAACGTGAACCTCATCCATCACGACCCACAGCATTATTATTTGGTTAAATGGAAAGTTTGTCAACTTTCCAAACTTGCTTCTCTCTAGTCTAACTGACACCAGAGCATTTTCTTGCAAATTTGCTGGGCACTAAGTTGACAATTCTCAAACAGCATAATATTATCACTCTATATCGATTAGGTTTTGTTTCTCTTTTATACACACACTCCTCAAACCTATAGATTAAGAAAATTAGATAAGTTAGTTAATTATAAGAAATATGACATATTTTTCTTAAAACACCATAATCATCTTTCTTAATATCCTCTTTTTCTTTTCTATTTGATTATGGTTGGCGGAATATCTATAAGGGTAATTTAGAAAAAAATTAATAAATATAAGAAATAAGTCTTATATTTAGGATCAAAATCAACTCAATAATTAAGTCCTATATTAAAGACCGGAAGAGTATGTGTATATATATATTTTTTTTAAAAAAATAAGAATTAGTCTACATGTTTTTTTTTAAAAACTAAACATTGTTGATGCTCAATTTACCATCTCATAGAATTTTGATTTTGTTCTTGTAATTTTAAATTACTAGTTTTGGTTTTTATAATTTTATGAGAACTTTGTCTAAGTATAAAAAAACAAAATTAAAACTAGTTAAAATTATAGACTATTAACCTTTTTTTAAAAATTATTAAAACTAAGTAAACGAGAAAGGAAGAGCGGTGAACTTACCAACGGTGGCGGAATGGAAGGTGGTGCTTCCGTCAACAACATTCCGGCTTCCGGTGATGATAGTGTTAGATCTTCCATCTCCTAAGAACATTATATTCGTTTTCTTCTTTGAAACTTCCACGTTCTCTCTGTAAACTCCTGCTTTGATCTTAATCACATATCTATTCTTACTCTTTTCCGGCGCCGCAGCCACAGCTTCCCCCACCGTCTTAAAATCTCCGCTCCCGTCAGCTGCTACCACGACGTTAGGCTTCACATTCGTGGCCTGCAACAAATGCCTGTCCGCCGCCGACATCCACTCTGGCCACTGAACCCCGCCTTCCGACGTCGCCGACATCAGCCTCCTGCTCTTCGTAATCCCCAACTTCCTCTCGTAGTTGGCCACATCTGTGTCCGTCATGTTCTTAATCATCGCCAGAGCATTGCTGCACATGTGCTCCACGTGCACCTGCCCTGCCTCTAGAGCTTTCCTCACTTTCTTATCAGCGCCTTCGTGAGAGAATCCGTCAAGGCAGGTGACCTGGTTGGTAATGGCGGCACTTATCAGAGTCTTTAGATCGTCAGCGTGCTGATACAGAGTTTTCTTGTTCGGATAGACATTCAGATCTTCTGAAGCTGTGTGAAGCTCGTCGAGCGTCTCGTCGATCGTCTCCAAACAGTCATGAAGAGCGGTTTTCTCTCTTCCCGTGAGGCTTCCCTTCCTTTTGGCGATTAGCTTCTCGACGGTGAAGAAATTGTGCTCAACGGCTCTGGTTGTTATGTTTAGGGAAAGTTCGATGACGTCGCGTTGGGAAGAGACTTTCTCGGTGAACCCGGGCTCGGAGGAGATAGCAGAGAAGCAAAGTTCAGGGTAAAGGGTTGAGCTACAAGCAGATTTGACGATAGCATGGGATGGATGGGAGGAGAAATTCAAATTATCAGAGGATTTTTGGCGGGAGTTCACTCCGGCGATGATGCCGACAGCGGCGGCAACAAGGAGCAGGGTGGAAAACAGAGCAAGAAAGAGTTTTTTGTTTCTCTTGTGGTTGCCAGGATCTGAGATCCCGGCGAAGACTTGCCTTAACTTGCTCATAGGGTACAAAGATTATGAGGAGAGAAAGAGGAAGGAGAGTCGAGTGAACTGTGGAGAGCGGTGAGCGTTATATAGAAGCGGAGGATGGAGATAGAGGGCTTTGAAAGGATGAAAGAGTTTTTCTTTTTTTTTGGGGTCCAAGAACAACGGCGATGAAAAAGTGTGTCATATTAGCCGTGGGGTCCCCAGTACCTTTTAATAATTTCATTTAATTTACTTTAATTTTTACGGCTTTAAAATAGGGAAAATGACAATAAAATACCAATTAAATTCTAAAAGGATAAATAAGGCATTTGAATAAGCAAAATGACAAATAGGGCATTGGGTACCAATCTGAAATTCATATTTTCAGCCAAAAGACCAAAATGCCCTGTCTGAAAGTGAGAGAAAGGAGAGAGGAAGACCGACGTTGATGAAATGCGGGAAGAAGGAAAGAAGAATGTTGGAAATACTATTATCTTACTCCTTCGCATCACCATTCTGTAGAGATTATTGATTTGATGGGTTTTGGTCGTGGGAAAGAGGATTTGTAGTGAGAAAGGGAGTGAACCTGTGGGAAAGATGAAGCGAAAATCAGAAAACAATGGCAAGAATTACGTAACGTAACTGCTGTTAGGGCTGCACATGGGCAGGGCTGGGCAGGGCAAACCCCTTGCCCGATGCCCAGCCCGAAAGATGAGCGGGCTGTGTTTTGCAGCCTGTAAAACCCCTAACCCCAATACATTATAATCTCATCATAACACCACTACTATGGTAGAAAAGGAAGATTGTTAAAACAAGCTACCATAGTAGAAGGAAAATTTCATATTTTTAGAAATTAACTTTCAAACTCGGGTCAACCCGTAAAACGTTGCACGCAACTAAAATAATCCATTCATATTCACTGGGCCTCCGAGCCTCTGGCTCGGGTAACAACATACACCCAAAAATCAGCCCATTCAATTGGTTTTCCACCAAGTAAAACAATTCCATAAAACAATAGCAATGGCCTCCGGCCAACCAAAATAGGGAGATACATTCTATTCAGTTTACAACAAGGCCGGGAAATCAAAGATACCAAAAAGCGGTCCTAAATGTGGCAATATAACTACTACTCATACATATACAAATGCTAGAGGCCTAAAGCTAACCCAGCTCAAGCCTCTGCGTCTCTTCCCGAAGGTGCACGCCTAGAACCTTCACCTGAAAATATTGTAAACCACGAGGTGAGATAAAGTCCCAGTAACCAGCCTTTCCAATACTAGGTACTACTAAATAGGTGCTCGTGAGGTGTCAAGTGGGGCAGTTCACAAATAATACATAATGATAGCCACAACAATTTATGCAAGTGCAATGATGCAATCCCATCAACCAAATCCCTCACTTTGGGGGATTTTCAGGAGCCGAACCCGGCCTATCCCTCACTATGGGGGACGTAAAAGAGCCAACCATCATGCATTAATGGAGGCCTTACCACGTGGTAGTAACTATCAAACTCTCACCAAATTTCCCAATTAATGCATCATACTCAAATCATAATCAAGAGTAATAATCATTTCACAATTAATCTCATTCAGTGGCATATCTTTCACAATTCCACAAATTCATTCATCATAAATCCAAACCCCACAAGACGGTTTTCCATTTTTATATACAACATATAGTTCGAACACAATTACTATTTGGAGTACAAAACACAGATCTACTCACAATACCACAGAAGCAAGTACTAAGGATTGGAAAGTGGTTACCTCTCGCCTGAGCAAGGAATAACAATCAACAAAGTGGCCCTGCGCACCACCAAGACTCACAACCGGTCTACACAAGCACACAAACACACAACCAACATATATTAGCATTCAAACTAATAATGTGGCCAAAACAACACTTGGGGACACAAAATTCCTATCTCCCATCAAAACTCTACCCAACTCAAGGGGTATCACTATCAAAACAACACTCCAAAGTCCTCAAAGTCTATTAAAACATCAAGTCTCCTTCCAAGCATCAATTATAGTTCAAACCTCAAGGGCCCACTATAGGAATTCAACCTCCAACAACCCATTTGAGCAATTAAGGTCCCAACAACAAATCTAAACGATTAAACATCCAATTAACCCTCCTTAACATAACCCAATTCACAAAACTCAAAAATCAATCTCTACATTATCATCCTCAATCCCAAATCATCCAATTCCATAAACCCTAACTCCAAAATTCAAGATTCTTTAAATCTAAGAAAACTACACTGATTAAATACTTAAACTAACCCAATGCAATCAATTAAACTCAAAACAATCGGTCAAAAACCTCAATTCCATCACAACCTAGAAAATCCTAGGGTTCCACCAAAAATCCTCATAAATTCCATGGAATTTCAAGAAAGAAAGAAGATTAGAGGTTAAAATCACTTACTTGAGGTAATGGATCCTTAGAAATGCCTTTCCCAAGCCTCAAAACCGAAACCCTAGCAGAGCTCCTCTCTCCTCCTCAGATTTTCTTATTTTTCGCACACTGACTGCTCTCGCGAATATATAGATTCGCGACCTTTCGCCGCGGCGAACTCCATCTTCGCCGTGGCGAACTAATCCCGAGAGGAATTAGTCGCCTGAAAAACCTGACTTCGCCGCGGCGAACCCCAATCTTCGCCGCGGCGAAAGCTTCCCGAGGGGAAACTCTCGCTCGCCCAGAAGAACTTCGCCGCGGCGTGCCCTTACCTTCGCCGCGGCGAAACCTTCCCGAAAGGGAAGCCTCGCTCACCTGAGTAACTTCGCCGCGGCGTCCCTAGACTTCGCCGCGGCCAAACCTTCCCGAGAAGACACTCCCCTCTGAAACTCCCGGTGCGCCGCGGCGAATATACCCTGAAAGGGGTACGTTCACCTATTCCTCCAACCAACCTCAAATCCAACCTAAACACCAAGATCAAGATTAAATCACTAATCTATCCTCAAAATCAACCCAAAAGAGGCTATCAAAACCCGATTAAACTTAGGATGTTACACAGCCCGCTGCCGGCCCTGCCCAGTAGTAGAGCCCTAACCATTTTGGGCAGGGCAAGGATGGGCTGGGCAGGGCGGGCTTTTCTGCCCAGCATAATGACACTATGCCTTATATCATATGTAGAAAAAAAAAATTCAATTATCGTGTTTTGAGACAAGTGAGAGGAAAAAAATTATCACGAATGAGTCTATCACTCATATATATATATAAGGCCTATGTAGTCTTGTTCTTCAACTTTCAATTTCTTATGGGGGGTAAAAAAATATATTAATAATTAGAACATTTAATAATCAAGCTAAATCAGTAGTTCAATTCCTTAGTTTATTTATATAGTTGGCAGATTCTTATAATCATGTGAAAGCACAAAATTTGAAAGGTGGTTTTATTTTTCTTTTTTTTGTTTTAAAAAATTGGATGTAAGAGAAAAAGAAGGAAATTTGACTTGGAGTAATTTAGCATATGAATCTTATATTTTGATATTTAGCTCTTTTATATAATTATAATTTTATATTCCTTTCATTTTTTCTAATTTTACCTAATTTTTTGGCCAAAACAAAAGAGATAATTGCTTAAAATAATATTATCTTATATATATAATTATATATTTTTCGGGCAGGGCCAAATGGGCAGGGCAGTATACCTTGCCCGTGGCCCTGCCCTGCCCGTGAATCAGCCCAGCCCGAAGATGCCCATTTTTGCTTGGGCAGCTTTTTATCGGGCTGGGCTGGGCGCTTTTCTTGCGGGCTCGGGCGGGCTTATTGGGCATGCGGGCCTCATGCACACCTCTAACTGCTGTCATATATCTGCTGGTTTTTGGTAAATCTCATTACGTGAATGGTAAATTTTACTATACATGTAGTTAATTATGAATTTTACAAAACACATATTATGATTTATAACTTTTGTAGTGAAAGTGACTACTTTGTTAATGGGTTTTGCAACTTGTTTTCAGGAGATAAACAACTTGTTTGTAAAAACTAATAAAATTTCACGTTAAATTTGACAAAACGTATAGTGGGATTTATAACTTCCATAGTAAAAATGACCACTTATTCAATGGGTTTTGCAACTTGTTTTCAGGGGATGGGCAGCTTGTTTCTAAAAACTAATAAAATTTCATACTAAATTTGACAAAACACATAGTGAGATTTACAACTTTCGTAATAAAAATGATCACTTCTTCAATGGGTTTTGTAACATGTTTTCAAGGAATTGGCAACTTGTTTCTAAAAACCAATAAAATTTCATGCTGAATTTTACAAAACATAGAGTGATATTTACAATTTTTGTAGTGAAAATTACCACTTCTTAAATGAATTTTGTAACCTCTTTTCAGGGGATGAGCAACTTGTTTCTAAAAATCAATAAAATTTCACACTGAATTTTACAAAACACACAGTAATATTTATAACTTTTATAGTGAAAATAACCACTTCTTAAATGGCTTTTGCAACCAGTTTTCAAGGGATGGGCAACTTGTTTGTAAAAATCAATAAAATTTCACGTTGAATTTTACAAAACATATACTGGGATTTACAACTTTTGTTGTAAAAGTTACCACTTTGTTAATAGGTTTTGCAACATATTTTTGGAGGATGAGTAACTTACTTTTCACCACCAATAAAATTTCACACTGAATTTTACAAAACACATAATGTGATTCACAACTTTTATAGTGAAAGTGACTACTTCTTCAATGGGTTTTGTAAACCTGTTTTCACTGGAAAGGCAACTTATAAACATAAATAAATCATTCAGTGAACGCACACCTGAAGTGCGTCACAATAAACATTGAATTATTAACTTTTATAATTAACTACATGTATAGTAAAATTTACCATTCATGTAATGGGATTTACCAAAAACCAGCAGGCATATGACAGCAGTTACGTTACGTAATTGCTTGTCATTGTTTTCTGATTTCCGCTTCATCTTTCCCACAGGTTCACTCCCTCTCTCACTACAAATCTTCTTTCCCACAACCAAAACCCACCAAATCAACAATCTCTACAGAATGGTGA